CCATTACTTTTATAAATATTTTTTATCAGTTTTATATCTCAATAATTATTTAACAATGACTATTGTTTACAAGTCAACATTGATCAAAACGTACATCACATTATGCGCACACGCACTACGCAAGTACAAGAAATCCAAAGCACATCCATAATAAATATCTTTGAATATAGTTTCATATAAGTATAAAATATTTTTTTTGAAAAACAAAAAATCACTTCTAAAAAAAACAATTTTTGTTGAAATGTAAACTACTCAGTACGGCAGTACTAGTTACACTCATTACCTTTTTTTTATTTGTCCATATATTAAAGTAGTAATTTTATGATTAATTTAAATACTTATGAAATAATATCTTTTGAATAGTAATTTGAAATTGTTTTAGATCCTAAAACAAAGTACTAAAGCCGAAATTTTGCACAAAAAATACAAAAACGTTTAGAAACCTACAAAGCGTTTTAATACGCTCTTTTTGTGGAATTTAATTATTTAAATAGAATTAGTAAAATTAGTAATACCAATAGTTTAAGTTTTCAACGTGTAGAAAAAGCATTTATTTAAAAACAGTAGTTATACTTCAAATCTAACAAAATACCTATTTATGTTATTCCCCTTAACCAACAGCCATTCTTAATGGTTTTGTAATCTTTTCTTTTAAAAAACCCATATGGTCATTACTATCACGCATCTTCACAGTAGGTATTCCTTTATGCCAACATTATTAAAAATTGTTATCCCATAAAATTTTTAATACTTTGTTTCTTTATCTGAAAAGCATAGAAGACTGGATTTAAAATTGGAATAAAAATTAAAATAGAATACTTGATTTCAAATTTCTTTAATTCGTAATTTAGAATCAACATTTAATAAAAGACAAATCAATTTACAATATTGTTTATATTACCAATTCAAATAAATAAAGTTGACGTAGTTAATAATCGTCTTAGACAACAGTAGGTATTTATCTTTTAAGGAATGACAGTACGACATTATGATAATTATTATAAATACAACGAAATTATATACCAGCTAATAATATAACACAAAACAATATAGTCTATTGTTTATAACTTTAGCCTGCAACGCAAGTGATTCTATCACAATTTTCTTCCTATCCAATGTAACACTAAAGCATACTAATTCGTTAACACTATTATGTACTTAAATCAGCACTTGAAAAAAATACTGAGCATTTATCTCCTTTCAATACAACAACACCAACACATTTCGAAAATAATAAACTTATATCGGAAATTTTAACAAAAAGAATTTCCTTAAATGCAAACTACATATTTGGTTTTGTATCATAGGGCTAAAAAGAATTTCTAAGTATTATATGTTAAAAGATGTATTATTGTTTAAATTAATTTAGATAACAACAAATTTTTAAGAATATAAAGGAAAATTTATCTTTTAAAAATGACTTATTGTTATCCTANACTAAAAACGAAAATGTTCCATGCAATATTTGCAAACCCCTTTCCGCTTCCAGCAGAGATTGAATTTTTTAAAATGTTGAAGTAGGTATGGATATCACTAATTTCTGTTCGGTTCTCCTACTCATTTCTAACCTTTCGTATCCACGGTATCCTCATCGTTCGCCTGTAAGCCCCAGATAAATCGAACGCTTCTAGCCTTTTTCAAATTTCTAAATTAACCGTTCGTGAGTATAGAAGTGACCTCTTTTTGATAATGGCGACTCAGCCCTACGCTATCATCTATTTTATATCTCTACCGCTCCTTCCATCACGAGTTATCTGACTTCCCGAAAATCGGCTACTTCTTCTAATTTTTGTCTGCTATCTTTACATTCACTCTTTCCCTACTTTTTCATCTCTTGCATACCAGTATTTTTGTTTTATTTTAATTTATTTTCATACAATACTGTTTTGTCAAAAGGATCAAATTACTGCCTACATAAAACAAGACTTAACCACCCTATTAGGTACCTTTTTTTTGTACCGAATTCTAGAATGAAATTAAAACTTTTTCATTTTACTGTAGGAGGTACCTAGACTGCGTTCTAACCATCACTTTTCAGTATCATACTGTAAATAAGATGCCTATTTTTAATTTAATAAACAAGTATATACACTCAAAAGATTAATATTCTGAACTTAATTTCATAAAAGAATACTCCATTATGTCCTTACATGTATGTACGTATTATTAGAAACGTAGACAATGCACGCCTCTATGAAAATGCAAATAGCCCGTAGGTATGTAGTTCTCCCCTCAGGATGCACAGTAGTGAACCACTTACGTACGGTTATCGGGGCACAGAAGGGCACTCATCCCGTCTGCAGAATGTATCCCGCACGGCGGTCTTTATAATATTGTATTTACACACACATTCCCATAGCGGAGAACAAAATATTAAATAACTATTAAACTATTAAATTGCTCCAGAATATTTTGTCTAACTTACTTGGATCCTGAAATCGTCTTGATACATAAATACATGGATTGAGATGTATTAGTAAATGGTTTTTTACAATTCTATTTTCATTTTAAATTGTCTTTTACACAAGTGACTTTTAAGTAAAACAAATTGCGTAAAATATAAGACGGACAAATAAAAAAGATTAAGGGATAGGGGTTTTAAATAACTGAGAGAAATTTCTAGTGCACCCAATTCATAGCACTCAAGCTCGATTGATTGACGCTGATCAAAGTGGCGTATAATCGAAGTGGTGGGATGAACGAACCCCTTTCCTGCAGTACTTAAAAAGCACACGCCGCGTCGCCTGCGAGCTGCAACTAGTACCATGGATAGCGTCTGTGATTCAAAGGTTTGCGAAAAAAAAACATACACAGAAAGCCGTCTTTAATGTCTAATTAATTCAAAATCAGCGGGAGCTTTTATAATGATTAAAACTGAAAACCATTCTTGTACTGAAGTAACTTTCCAGAAAAGTGACATTTATTATAATCTTTTCTATTCTAATGTCGAAAGCTCCAAAAGCTTTAACATATTCTTACACTTCCATAAGAATAAGGTACAAATTCATTACTTTTAAAGTGTAAAATCAGTTAAATGGATGATGGATGTCAGTCAGGTCTTCGGTCTAAAAGCTCTTTCTATTTAAAAATATCCATGCTATATCAATAGCGAACGCTTCGTGTGCTATAAGGAATATTTCTAAAAGAGATGCTTGGCTTTAAAGTTGAAGAACACCTGCTCGCGTTCGACAACACAAACACCCCATAAATTCACACATTACGATGGATGCTTTTCTGACCCCGACTTTTATATCTGTTTCCACCGAACATCATTTACGCCTTTACGGGACCCTGTATACAATAAAAACCGTATGGCAGGATAAAAGCTGCCATATTAGCCAAACACATTTAAAAATCAGAAATCGTAATTTAGGGATCATTCAAAAATATGTATAGATTAAAAGTGCTTCTCAATTTTGTATAATTTAAGCGTTTGTAAGAAATCCCTCAGGGGTGAAAGTATAACCTAGATCACAGTAAATCTAAGAATTTGGAATTTGTAAATACCTATTCAGTTGTCGCGATGTTATCTTGATAATGGTTCATATTAATCAGAAGAAAATTGGTAAATAGAGTGTGAAATCAAAGCCAATCGGTTAAAAGTTATCAAAAAATTAAATAATGTTTAATCCCTTTTGGCTTTAATCAAACAGGGAATGAATGGAGAATACAATTAGAAAATACAACTTTGACAAATTTTGTAATGGTAAAGCTACTGCTTGCGCCATCTGTTAACGAATATACACAACAATCACGGATTCAGGAGTGAGTTACAGGTACCGCATAAATTGTTTTGAACTTATACAGCGATGTGGCCCACCCTTGACTAATGTAAAATTAAAAAAGATACGTCCCCGAATTCAACGTTTAATACTAATTTGATTGCAAGAAAACCCTAATAAAGATAAAATGCATATCTTCTATTTTGTAAACAAATATCTTTAATAAAGAAAAATTTTAGTTGATTGCATTAAGTTGCCATAAAAGGGTAAAAGGAAAATATAAAAAAAAATGTTACTGAGTTCATATATACATATATTCACATATTAACACCAAAAAAGTGTACATGGCACAGACATGTATATCCAATCATTATCAGTCTTAATGCAAATAAAAAGTTTATATTTTGTGATTAATTCTCCAATTCAGGAAACACACTAAGACGAAGTTGCTTTTTATTTACTTTTCCCATTGCATTCTTTGGTAATGAAGTAACTATCCTGATTTCTTTAGGAATCCAATGCTTTGGCATTTTTTCTTTGGCCCATTCTGTTAACGAGATGTGCGTTAATAATGACATGGGTTTTATCGTAATAATAGCGGCAACTTTTTCGCCATAAACGTCATCAGGTATCCCTAACACGGCACATTCAACCACTTCTGGATGTCCCAGGAGAATCGTTTCCACGTCTACAGCACTCACTTTATAACCCCCCGTTTTAATAATGTCAACACTGGCTCTACCTAGGATCCTAAAAATTTTCTTTTGACGGGAAAACTGGCAAATATCACCCGTTTTGAACCATCCGTCGGAAGTGAACTCCTTCTGTGTCTCTTCCGGCCTTCTAAAATATTCTTTAAACACTCCTTCACCTTTAACATGCAACTCTCCTGTTGGATCGTCGTTTTTTTCTTTGATGGGAAGATAAGTGTATTCGACGCTTCCGTTAACGTTGGTGCATTCTAAGAGGGTCTCATTATTGGGGCGAGAAATGTCAACAATTTTTATTGTGACACCTGGTAATGGAACCCCGATGTAGCCCGGTTCCCTAGAGGAATCATACAACTGTGACAAGCACATCCCTATCTCCGTCATCCCGTATCGCTCTAGCAGACGATGACCTGTTACCGAATGCCAACGTTGGTATAATGGTACAGGCAACGGAGCAGATCCGCTTACCATTAGTCTCACTTTAGTTTGAAGAATAGTTTTAATGTGTTCAGTCATTTTTGGATCACCAGCAAAAATCCTGTCGTACTCCTCAAGAAGTTTCGAATAAATTGTGGGAACAGCCATGAAAACCGTTATCTTACGATCTCCTGGATTTTCATTGATACCCAATAAATGAGTCCAAACAGTATTAGCATCAAATTTCGGTAAGATAACGCACTTGGCACCGGCATAGAGAGAACAGAGGAGGATATTAACAACACCATGAACGTGGTGCAAAGGGAGAGTATGGAGGACAGTATCATTAGATGACCATCTCCATGCATCTATTAGGGTGTTCACTTGACTATAAATGTTCCGATGGGTAAGGACCACACCTGCATTATTAAATAAATGTTTCAGTATACATTTAATGCAACCTTGATTTATTTTTTTGGTGTGGAGAAGCTCCTATGATAACCTTAAGGCAAAAGAATAGATGAAAAAAGAATGTTTACATAAAGTGGTTATTTGAATTATTTCCAGTTAAAATGCATTTTTCAATTTTTTGGCCCCTGGAAATAAGTTGTAACTAGCTTATATAAAATGTAACTTTTAAGGCAGCTGTGGGACACCCTGTACAAAGAACATTCCTTAATTATTTCTTGTTTAAATTCCAATACCTACTTAAATGATAATCTGGTATTTTACGTTTATACTGCAGCAACAAAAGCTTATTCAATTAACTGTGTCGTTATGTTGTGACATAATACAGTTTAAATAAATAAATAAATATTGTAGGTAAATAGTTTGCCAAACTCATAAAAGTTTTCGTACCCTTTGGATTGCCTGTAGTACCACTGGTATATAGTATCATGGCTCCACTTGTGTTGTAAAAATCTGCTGATAATCCTGTTTCTACATCTGTTAATTTTGTAGGCACCTTTGTTTGAGCATTCTTTCTAAAGTCATCATCCAATACTATAATTTTAGCATTGCATTTTTTTGCCAAGCGATCCATTATTTCAGCACTACTACTATTTGTTACAATAAGTTTTGTCTTGCTATCATTACAGTAATATTCCAGAAGATTTTCAGGGTATGATTTATTTAATGGCACAGCTAGAAAAAAACAGTACTATAAAAAACAAAAATTCAAAAACAAAATTAAAAATAGACTTGCCAATTTGTCCAGATATCCAACAGGCCCACTGGGTCATAACATACGAAGCATCATTGGGGCACACAAAGACCACCCTCTCTCCTGTTTTACCAATTTTAGCAGTCATTTCTCTGGATAATTGATTAGCACCCATAAGTAAATTACCAAAGGAGTAGGTACCTGCATCATCTTTGAGACCTATTTTCTCTAAATGATCAAAAGCTCTTCGGAACACCGGTTTGACATCAGTTGGGCGATGTGTTAATCTCGGCTTTAATTTTGATTGAATATGCTGATATCTTATAAGAGCAGTTCTTGTTGCATAAAACTTATTCATGAAGTTCATTTTTGATTATAACTTTTCAGTTTACTTCTTGGCAAACACAAGTATGATGTAATATTTATTTATCATTCAATTTTAATAAAGGAAGGTTTGCCACGTATTATTTACAAACACTTGATACTTCAAGTGCAAAAAACAATTTAGGATCACGAAAATTTTACTAATTACTGACAGTAAATTCAGGTTATGCTGCACGTTTTTTGGTTTATTTTGGCAAATGACAGTAGTCAAGTAAATAAATTTTGAAAAGTAATTTTGCGAATATATATCAAGTGAAACAAATATTATCATACACTTGTCATGCATTTAAAAAAAAGGTTAATGTACGTCAGTGTTAATGTTTAAATAGTGCAGTTGCTAAGTGAATAGTCACAAATAACATTAATTACTTATGATAATAATCACTATCTTTGCATAGCTCTAACTTGTTCCTTCACTTCTTCAATTTTTTGAGCTGATCTTATGATAGAATCATGCTGATAACCCAAGTGACAACATAACCACTGCAATTTTTTCAAGTTAGTTTCGCTGTTTTCCAAAGCATGCTCCTGCATTGCAATAGTTTTAGCTGAATGCATTAAGATCTATAGTAGGAAAACGTTTATATTAAAAATAATTTTAAGATAATTTTTTTATTAGTACCTCACTACTTTTTGATCCTCGTATTATTTGTCTTGAAAGCGAGGCTACATTGTTTACATTAACTTGAACCCTATCTGCTAAACGCATCTTGGAATCTGCGAAAAGCGATCTAGCACTAGTACTACTCGCAGATGCCATTACTTTTATAAATATTTTTTATCAGTTTTATATCTCAATAATTATTTAACAATGACTATTGTTTACAAGTCAACATTGATCAAAACGTACATCACATTATGCGCACACGCACTACGCAAGTACAAGAAATCCAAAGCACATCCATAATAAATATCTAAAAAAATTTGAATATAGTTTCATATAAGTATAAAATATTTTTTTTGAAAAACAAAAAATCACTTCTAAAAAAAACAATTTTTGTTGAAATGTAAACTACTCAGTACGGCAGTACTAGTTACACTCATTACCTTTTTTTTATTTGTCCATATATTAAAGTAGTAATTTTATGATTAATTTAAATACTTATGAAATAATATCTTTTGAATAGTAATTTGAAATTGTTTTAGATCCTAAAACAAAGTACTAAAGCCGAAATTTTGCACAAAAAATACAAAAACGTTTAGAAACCTACAAAGCGTTTTAATACGCTCTTTTTGTGGAATTTAATTATTTAAATAGAATTAGTAAAATTAGTAATACCAATAGTTTAAGTTTTCAACGTGTAGAAAAAGCATTTATTTAAAAACAGTAGTTATACTTCAAATCTAACAAAATACCTATTTATGTTATTCCCCTTAACCAACAGCCATTCTTAATGGTTTTGTAATCTTTTCTTTTAAAAAACCCATATGGTCATTACTATCACGCATCTTCACAGTAGGTATTCCTTTATGCCAACATTATTAAAAATTGTTATCCCATAAAATTTTTAATACTTTGTTTCTTTATCTGAAAAGCATAGAAGACTGGATTTAAAATTGGAATAAAAATTAAAATAGAATACTTGATTTCAAATTTCTTTAATTCGTAATTTAGAATCAACATTTAATAAAAGACAAATCAATTTACAATATTGTTTATATTACCAATTCAAATAAATAAAGTTGACGTAGTTAATAATCGTCTTAGACAACAGTAGGTATTTATCTTTTAAGGAATGACAGTACGACATTATGATAATTATTATAAATACAACGAAATTATATACCAGCTAATAATATAACACAAAACAATATAGTCTATTGTTTATAACTTTAGCCTGCAACGCAAGTGATTCTATCACAATTTTCTTCCTATCCAATGTAACACTAAAGCATACTAATTCGTTAACACTATTATGTACTTAAATCAGCACTTGAAAAAAATACTGAGCATTTATCTCCTTTCAATACAACAACACCAACACATTTCGAAAATAATAAACTTATATCGGAAATTTTAACAAAAAGAATTTCCTTAAATGCAAACTACATATTTGGTTTTGTATCATAGGGCTAAAAAGAATTTCTAAGTATTATATGTTAAAAGATGTATTATTGTTTAAATTAATTTAGATAACAACAAATTTTTAAGAATATAAAGGAAAATTTATCTTTTAAAAATGACTTATTGTTATCCTATTTTATAAAATTATTAATAGAATTTAGCACTTCGTTTTTTTATTTTGGCAAAATGCTTCAATGTGAAATACAAATTTCACCCATACTTCACTTCAAAATTATTAAGAACAACATCCAGGTATTGGTACAAACAATTCATGAAAATTACAATATTTAGATAAAAATTAAATTCAGCTTTAAATACATTACCACACAAAGAGAACAAACAGCCTTCAAAACGCGAAGCATGAATGATTTTTTTGTAAAGGGTCTATTACTATGACTATATGATTTAAATCGTTACTTACAATTTGCAGAAGATTTGGTTAATATGTTTCAACCTAGTGTAGAATCCTATTTATTTAAGTAATATGTTGCTGATTTATAAATAAGATTAACAGGACGTGGAAGAGAAACGGTAAGTGCCTCTTTTTGTTATTTTTACATAAAAAATCAGACGCAAAACAGTCTATGGGAACAAAAGTTTCTTGAAGTTAAATAAAAGAAAAACACAAGAAAACTTATTTGTCATGTATAAACATGTTGGGCAATGTTGAATACCAATTACATAGCTGTGCTACCCCCTGTTACCACTAAATCCCTCCTTCCTTTCTTCCCATCGTCCCTTCTAGCGCAATAAACCGAACTGTACATTTTATTTACTCGACAATAACTTTTTTATTAAAAAAAATATTCAATTATTTATGACCTCCTTCCACCCCGTCTAATGTCATTACCGAACCGTTTGAAATAACAGCAATATTATTTCCGCCGTGCACATGGTGCCTATTTTTTTGTTTTGTTTTGTACCTGAAATGCTGTTTGTATTTGTGCTCAAGCCCTTGATGTTCCCCTTTCATTTCATCCGGCTTTTCCTTTTCTGTCAATAAAGCAGGATCGTGACCGTTACAAAGCACCGACGGAATCACCGATTGTTCTGGAGTAGATTCCGATTTTTGTTCCATAGGTCTTGGGCATATCGTCGTATCGCCTTCGATCAGGCCACCGTTATATGTCAGCTGAACTTTCTTTTCCGATTCCGTGTCCATAGGTTCGCCATGCGAATAGATACTTGGATTAATTTTTTGTTCCTCTGCCTTCCTTAACGTCGGTATTTTGAACGTTACCGTTGACAATGGTGTTTCATCTTCCTCGTCGATTTCTTCTGCGTCATGGTCTTCTTGTTCCACACGAGGAATCAAAATCTCCGGACCGCCGCCATAAATATTATAAAAGAAGTTCCACACGCTCTCGTTTATCTCAAAATATTCTGAGTCTGATAGTGTCACAGTAATTTTGGAGTTATCTATTGGCCCTGGAGGTTCAGTTGTCCTTTTCTGGACAAAGTTTTGCCATTGAGAGTACCAAGAGACTGAAAGCAGGTGTGTAGGAGGCGTATCTTGGTTCTGAGTATCTCTACGAATCTGATAGAAAGTCTCCAGCTCTAAAGTGACACGTTGAAGTAAATTCTGACATGCAGGACAAATGTGCACTGTTGTAACGGGTGGACAACCACCGAAATGCCTGTAAAGAAGGTCGCATGTAACTTTGGGCAACGCTTCAGCCACTTGGTCTAAAACTGAGATACGTTCCGGGTGAATCGAACCATGTTGGCACAAAAAATCGCTATTATCTATCGGTCCTGGTTCGGCGAACGTATAAAATCTATTAAGCCATTGCTTCGAAACATATCCGAACTCTTTTGAGTCATTCTCGATCGTTTCAGCGCTTTCGATAATTTTGTTTTGAAGTGCTTCGGCTGCGTTCGTGCTTTTACGATAAAAAAGCACGTAAGCTTCGCAATTTTGAACTGTTTCCGGAGTAACTTTGGTGATATATTGATCGTCGAACTCGTACCATTCGCCTGCATTCAACGAGTAACAAGTATAGTGTCCACCACCAGCAGTACCATGATGACATATAACAGAGAATAAATCATATGTTGTCACCTTGGAAACACAATTGTCATGCAAATAGGGACGCATGTCAAGGTTTTTAAGCGGGAAACTGACGAAAGACGAAATCTTGCTACTAAACATCAACTCGTGTCGGAATCGTTTCAAGTGGATGCAAAGCACTTCTGGTAATTGCATTACCTATACACAAAAAATACATCCATAAAAATTAATTATAATTTTCAAATGGATTTATATTTTTCTTATAAAGGTTTCTTTGAAAATTAGATATTAGAACGAATTTGTACGAGCTTTTACTTATATATTCAATCATAATGCAATTATAACATAATGTCACTTACTTTACTGAATTTTATACCGTTTCTCAGTTTGTTACACCTCTCGCAACTATACATGTTGTCTCCTTTAAGTTCATCGGTACTAAAAAATGCGGCGAGGCAATCATGTAAGGAGACGGTTGGGCCGTAAAACCACGACTTGAGCCACGCAAGTATCCATGCGAGCCATCCCTCTTGAACGGGAATAACGGCTTCAGAACAGGTAACTCCTGGTCCGGTACTTCGTCCGTGCAATACTACCAAGTGATCGCGTGACGGAATGGGCAATGACAAATCTTGGAACGTTTCTATACAACTGGAAATGCGATCACATGTTAAACATTGTACAGACGAGAGCAACTTGCCGTCAAACACATCAGATATTATGGAACGATACTTGGGGGGCTTTTTCGTAGACGAAATTGAACACGGTTGGGTATCTGAAAACAATTAAAATAATACATTTTTTAAGATTAAGTTTGTAAATAAATCTTACCCACAGTGGGCTGTTTATTCTGCATCCTAGCTCTTAACCGCCTTCCAGGACTGGTAGATCTAGACAGCCGACGTTTCGTTGTGTTCGACGTATTTTCTGCATCATCACTTAAACTAGAGCGTTCGCTTACTCCCGAATCACACGTTTCGTACTCGCCTTCACTTGAGTCGTAACTCGAACTCAACGTTGGTTCGTCCATGGCCAGACTGAACGTGTCCAGGTCGTTTCCGGCTGGTTCTGGTGGGCACAACTGTTTCAACTCTTCGTGTAACTGGTCCATGAAATTACGCAAGAACTCTTGGGTATCATGCTGATGATAACCGCGGAACATTGCATATACGTTCCGGATACCATATAGAATGCCTGAAATTAAATGTATTACCTAATAAATAAATTAAATATAACAGAAAAATAATTAAATCAATTAATGAGAAAAGTTTACGTTTGTATGTGACCTACCTGAAGGCGTAACTGATCCTCCGGTCTTTTTAACCCACATGTCTTTCATGAGCTCCAAGTACGTTCTACTTAATCCAGGCTTTCGTCCTTCCGAAAGTAATCTAACGGTGGATGGACATTCCAAAAAGAAATTCGTTAGGGGCATCGTGTTGCTCAAAGCTTGCAGGGCGGCATTCATGTAACATGTGTTTCCGATGTTCTGCAATCCCACGAGACCGACCATTCTATTCGGTTGTAATCTCACATTGTCTTCACCATCGCTTGATTCTGACGTGTCCCCATTCATACCCACATTTAGACCTACTGTCCGATCGAATGGGAATGCCCTGTTTCGATCAGGGGTGTTTGTTCTTAAGGTACTGTAGCTGCCGTGGCCAGAATCGTGCGACTTCGAATGGTAATCGTCCGCGTCCTGGTCACTGTCTGCACACGACATCGTCGGATGGGCATCTATGAATACTTCCGATTGACACTGGTAACACCATATTCTCTTCGTCGACAGGTTCATGTGTATGCAGTGCATGGGTAAGTCCTGAAGGAGAAATAATTATGCCCAAGTGCTCCACCTCTCATTTCTTAAACTAGTGTCGACATATTTTCTTATTTATTTTGTAAGAGAAAACGTCAAAATTTTGCTTTGAAGTTACATGTCAAAATTTTAAAAAGTAAAAATCTTTTCGTTTATTAAGATACCAGACTGAATTAAAATAAATACAAATTTTGTCGCCTAAAGAGCACACATATATATGTCGACAATCAAATTATTCTTTATTTGCTTACATGATTGTGTTCAGTGCTGTGGTCTTTGTCTTTCTCCGAACATCCGATTTTAAAACAGTCATTATACAAACAAATCCATAAATTTGGTCCTCTTGAATCGCAGTCTGCACAAACAACCTAAATAACAACAGTATTGAAATTGTAAAAGGAGCCATATTAAGTGCGGAGCGAATATTTTAATCTTTTGATATGCGTTTTTGGATTTTAATTTGCATTCATTACAAATGATGTGCCTACTACTTAACTATTTTCGCTAGCAATAAAGTTTGCGTAAGCAATAGTAAAAAATACTGCAAAAACATTACAACTTAAAAAAAGACAAAAAAAAGATAATTTGGTATTTTGAAGACCTTTTTACTTTTGCTATATGTAAGGTATTAATAATTAAATAGCTATTCAGTAATGTAATCTTTGTACAAGGTCAAATAACTGAATTCAAACAATAGTGGGTAATTATACAGGTAAAAAGCCTGCTTTGGATACTAAAATGAAGCTAAAGGGAAATAACAATTAAACTTTTATTCCCTAACAACTGTGTATCTTTGTCTTCTTTTTCATTAAATTATTAACGAAATACAAGTTATCAATGAACAAAATGATGAATAAATATTTTTCTTTAGTCTAATTTCTAACATAGTAAAATCATTTTGCCCCAATTGTTCATGTTCCAAATTCGCTAATCTAAGCTACATAATTTCTTCAATGAGTATCTTAAGATAAAAAACAAGTATTAATTAACTTATCATGGCATATCAGTGATCCTTTTCAAATGTTTGTCAATGATTTTATTACATCATAGGTACCTCTGTTACATGCAAAATAAATTGCCCTCTAACACAAGAAACTATGGTAGCATAAGAAGTAGTTATTGTAGAATTGAATAACTGCATATAAATAAATACTACTAGTAACTAAATATAAAATACAATTACTTACATCCTTATTTTTAAGAATTTCAGCAACAGGAATGTTCGTAGCAGTACAAAAGTGGCTGCAGGAGTTTCTATGTGCCATGCTACTAAAATAAAAATTGAAACTATATTTAAATTATGTTTGAGTTATTGATAAATTAACATTAATCACAATATTATATTCAGGAGAACCCAATTAGATAAAGTTTCACACAATGACATGAAAGATCTTTTGCTTAGGAAAACATAACCTATAAGTAATACAGAGTTAAATATTTATATCATATACATTTATCTTTAGCTTTAAATAAAAATAAAAGAAAAAATTGCAATCACCAGTTAATTTAAGTTTGGATACATTTCCTTTAAGGCAATATTAATAGAAAACTAACTTGTAAACATAAAAACATAATCCTTTAGAACATGATGTTACTCCAATTAAAACAAAAACTTCAAGGAACTGGTAAGTAATTACTTACAATTAGTTGGAAAGGCACATTAATATGTGATTAAATATACAAATTAAACAAATAATACTAAGTAAATACAAAATTATTAAAACCGCTTACTCTGAAAAGTTGCGTAGGGTGGTAAATAATGGACATTAAAACATATCACTTCTAAATTAACGAATGTATTATCCAGAACTCGTGGCTTTTACACGGTGCCGTGGTAAGATAAGAATTTGCCATAACAAATTAGATACTTCGAAAATTATTATTAACTGTCATATTACAAATTGCTACAAGGTTCTGCCATTTCTGCTATTTCATCATAGATTAAAGAAATATATACTGTATTTCCTTATTCTCATAGATTAATGTCATAATATTTCATGTCTCTGGTGATCGTTGCGATAATCTATGGTCGTGGTCATTGAGATCTTCAAACACTTATGATGCACAACCTATATGTGAATCTATGAATATATTCTATAATTCTATAGTATCTTAAATTCGATTAAACAAAATGGTTTCCGTTGGTCAATAAAGCGCATAATTAAAAAGAGTAAGTTACACTCCATTTCAATATTTCACAATTAGCTGATATTTAGTGATATTTAACCGTTGCTTGTGTAGCATTTTTTAAAACACAAATTGAGTATTTTATTATTCATATCAAAGATTTTTCTAAATTTGTTAAGACATGGAAGCGGCAGAAGAAGCCGTCATTCCTGATACAGGTAATGTGAATATATTCTATACATTTAAAATTTTAATGTAGAAAACATTACAGAAGTGAGAAGAACTCGGTCAGGTAGGACTGTAAAAGCACCATCAGTAACACCAACAAAGACAAGTCGGCGTACAAAAAAGAAAGTAGTTCTGGTTGAGGTTGAGGTATCTGATGAGGAAGAAACTGATCAGGATAAAACTGAAAAAACACAAAACTCAGATTCAGACAACTTGTTGGTGGATTCATCACAAGAAGAATCACCGCCAAAAGAAAAGTCAAATAATGATATTGAAAGTGAATCAGAGACAGAAAGAAGAGATCCTAAGATAAGTCTAGCTAAAGGAAGTATAATAGACAAAAAAACAGATGTTGAAAGTGTACCTGATATTTTAGACAACAGTCTAGAAAATATTACTAATGGTGAAAAAAGTACAAATAAGGTAAAGACATTTAGCCATAAAGCTTTAAACTATATTTGTCATTTATCATGAATGATTCATCCTTTTTTTATGTTTATATTGTATTGTGTTACCTTAGTTACCTTTTGTGTTGGATAAAAATACACAATTTCATTAGTTTCAAGCATTTTTGCCTGCATTTATTTCTAAGGAGAATCAATAGGATAAAAAACCAATGCCATTTTTCATTTAGAATTGTTTTGTGTTATACTGTTATGTTACTTTGTTTCTTTGTAGATTGGTATAAGTAAATCTGACGAAATTGAAATTCTTTCAATGGAAACAAATGAGACGGAAATAATGGATAGTATAAATGTAAGAGAAGATCTTTTTGAGGATAGAGTTGAAAAATTAGAAATTTCTGAAGAATATTTTAATTCTAATATCTCTCAGCAGCTTGCTGATTTGCAGAATGAAAGTGAGTCACTAGAAGCAGTTGGAGATAACACAATGGAAGTTGATGAACATATTGATGATGATGATTATATTGTAGAGGAAGTTCAAGGGGAAAATAGTGATGATCTGGATAGTATCAGGAAAGAAAAACATAAAAGTGTAAGTAGCAAAAATAATCATGTACTGTCTTGTTATTTGTCATATAAGTGATTGTAAGAAAATAAATAAATATTTGCTTTATTTTAAAGGGGGATGATCCAGATACCGAAGTAATATCAGAAGATGAATTACCTGGTGTTCAAGTGGCCAAAGTTCCAGAAACTGAAGAAGTATCTGATGAAGAGTTGCCTGGTCCAAAACGTGCTGAGCTTCCAGCAGACACCGAAGTAAGAGTTAATAGAGTTTAATATTTATTGATTGAATAATTTAATATTTTTAACAGGTAGTATCAGAAGATGAACTACCCACAGTAAAAAAGGAGAGTACAAAACGTAAATTGGAAGAAGGTGATTATGATCCTGGCTCCCCAACTTCAGAGAATGAGGCACCAAGCAAAAAACCTGCCTTAGATACCAGTCATGAAAAAGAAAAAGAAGAAAAAACAGCAAAGCCGAAAAAATTGCCAGAATTGGATAAATATTGGAAAGCTGTTAATGATGATCCCACTGACTTTACAGGGTGGACATATTTGCTCCAATATGTTGACCAGGAGGTAAATTTTCATTGTTATTTATAGTAAAATAGCATTTTCTTATTAAAATGTAAAACTCGGATTTTTTTGTTAATAATTAATCTTAATTTAATTGACTGCATTATAATATTAAATAATTATTATTATTTAAATAATTGAGTATTAGATTTATTATTATAAGAGTATAACACACTTTTTCTAAACCTTTCGTTATCTTACAATTTAGAATGATATGGAAGCTGCACGTGAGGCTTACGACGCTTTCTTGTCCCATTATCCCTATTGTTATGGTTATTGGCGCAAATACGCCGATTACGAGAAAAGGAAAGGGAACAAAAAAAAGTGTGAAGAGGTAAGTACTGTTACATGCACGTTTTCGTCCTTTTTTTTGTATAAATTTCATACACTCACATAATAATTTTGCAATCCCACAGCTTTGCGGCCAGCTGTCTGGTTATTCGCAATATAAGACGTTTTTACCATCGGTTGACGATGTTATTCAACCAGATAATAATTATTATGCAATATATAATATAGAATTTATTATTTNAATACGTATGTAATAAAAGTAAGTTAAGCTGAATACAAACTGCCTCTATCAGATTAAAATGTGAGCGTAATAGAACGAATGATAACAATCGATGTTTAAAAACTAGTAATTATTTAAAAAAGAAAATAAAATTTGATCGGCAAGCATTTATTAATCTCAAGTTAAAAAAAAAATGGCAAAAGTAAAACTACATGAGTAGTATACATATTATGTAGATATTTCGTACTATTTTCATCGAAAGGGAGGTAGCGGTGTTTGAGAGACTTTTGGAATGCCCTATTAAGCTTTGGACTGAATGTTAAATCATTATTACATGATTTCAATACCTAGTTAATTGTTTTTAACTAATTAGTAACACAAATAACTAAATTAAAAAACTAAAAAAATTAATAGTAAAGTAAAATATCATAAGCGTAGTTAGGGGAGAGCGCGGGTGGTGTACACCCTATAAAACTCATTTTTTACCACCGAAAACATTGTTTTCATTTTTTTTATCTTAAGAAAAAGGTTTTAAAAAGCACCATATTGTAAAAAAAACAACTGCGCATTGTTCATGATACATAATAATGGTTGTTTTAATTATTTTCTAATGTGGCAAAATATGGGCTTTGAAAATTAAATTTTTAAACATATTGGGCTTTTGGTTATTATTTTTTCGCGTAACCGTTGCATAACTCAGAGGAAGGCAATAATAAATTTTATGAATCGCAATTGTTTGATTAAAACTAATCATTATTCATGCGGTTAGTTTTAATGAGCAAAGCTGAAGAGGCATTAGGTACGCCATTATTTAGAGTTAATTAAATTCCTAAAATACTTCTTCTTTGGTTCGAAAATATAATAAATTGGCGCAAATACGCCGATTACGAGAAAAGGAAAGGGAACAAAAAAAAGGGGGAAGGGGCTGTTACAGTTACATGCACGTTTTCGTCCTTTTTTTTGTATAAATTTCATACACTCACATAATAATTTTGCAATCCCACAGCTTTGCGGCCAGCTGTCTGGTTATTCGCAATATAAGACGTTTTTACCATCGGTTGACGATGTTATTCAACCAGATAATAATTATTATGCAATATATAATATAGAATTTATTATTTTCATACCTATTACTATTACTGCTATTTTGACTATTTCTACTGCTACTACTACTACTATAAGTTTTTTGTATTGTGTTATGTTCAAATATTTATTTCATGATGTTCTTGTTGATGATGAATTATGTTGTTGTGTTGTGAATAATAAGAATGATTTAAATTGTAATACGTATTATCGAAAGCGAAAAAGAAAAATGGTTATAAAGGTTTCGGCGAATTCTCGAACAAACTGCCATTTGGGTCGGAGCTAAAGTGCCCTGCGCTGGAAACTTTTACAACTTTCATGTAAGGGTTTCAATAATAGTACATACATACATAATAATAAAATAATACATTTTTTAAGATTAAGTTTGTAAATAAATCTTACCCACAGTGGGCTGTTTATTCTGCATCCTAGCTCTTAACCGCCTTCCAGGACTGGTAGATCTAGACAGCCGACGTTTCGTTGTGTTCGACGTATTTTCTGCATCATCACTTAAACTAGAGCGTTCGCTTACTCCCGAATCACACGTTTCGTACTCGCCTTCACTTGAGTCGTAACTCGAACTCAACGTTGGTTCGTCCATGGCCAGACTGAACGTGTCCAGGTCGTTTCCGGCTGGTTCTGGTGGGCACAACTGTTTCAACTCTTCGTGTAACTGGTCCATGAAATTACGCAAGAACTCTTGGGTATCATGCTGATGATAACCGCGGAACATTGCATATACGTTCCGGATACCATATAGAATGCCTGAAATTAAATGTATTNAGTAGATAGTTCTGAATAAAATTAGTTGATAAATTTCTTCATGATTGCCTAAACTGTGGTCTAATGTGTGGTGTGATAAATTCTACAGATCATTAGGAGAGGGAATCAAATTATGAGGAACATGGTTATTAATTCAGTGAGATGCAGCAGGATTTTCCATCAAAAAAGTTTTGCACTTGGGATATTTTAAAATCGAGGAAGTTGTTGCATATTTTAATTTGAAGCACTAAAAATTTTGGAAAGTAGGATAGACTACTAATAGCACAAAGTTCGTCCGGTAAACAAGGATTAGATTGCAGATTGAATAAGAAGATTAATGTTTCCAGTTTTTTTGATTTACTGGGAAATACTATGGCTTTATGATTTTCCAATTGAAGCAGTAAAAATTTTGGAACAGGATAGTCTGTCAATAGCACAAAATGCTTTCAAGACGCAAGGATTAGATTGCAATTGAATAAGAAGAGAAAAGTTGAATTAATGTTTTCCGTTATTTTGATTTACTGGGAAACACTTTGGCTTTAGGACTTTCCAATTGAAGCACTAAACAGTTTTGATCATGGGACAAACTACCAACAGCATACAGTGCTTCCAAGAAGTAAGGATTAAATTGCAGACAGAATAAGAAGAAAAAAGTTGAATTAATGTTTCCACTTCTACTGATTCACCGGGAAATACTTTGGCTTTCTTATTTTTCATTTCAGGTTAACATCTGTTGAAGTTACTTGCATGCTAGGTTAATCTGGAAAAGACCAGCGACGTTTTTTCTTCTCGTATAGGAAAAATAGAAAAAAAATCGCTTTAGAAGTGTTTTATATTTTATTGTTTGATAGTGGTGATAGAATTTATTTTGAAACATTGTAGATAATAAGGTTGGATTGCAATATTTTAATAGTGACAGTACAATATTAACTTTTAAAGATAATAATTTAATTTGAAATCTGTTGTTTTTTCAAAAAAGAATAACTGTTTTAGAAGTTTTTGTAGTATCGTCCATTATTGCGACTGGAGATCATTTTAATGAAAAAGAAAACCGTAAATGATGTTTTGAGGTTTATTTTACCTTAACACGTCGACCTATGGCACTTTGTGACCGTAGATTTTATGTATTTTGTTTTTATGGTACGAAGGTGTTGGAGCGCGGTTTGAAAGCCATTCCTTTGTCAGTTGACCTGTGGATCCACTACTTGACCTACGTCCGGTCCGCGCGGGCTGATGACGAGGAATTTGTTAGATCGCAGTATGAGAGGGCACTGTCCGCATGCGGACTTGAGTTTCGCTCGGACCGTTTATGGGATAGCTACATCAAATGGGAGACGGAAGGCAAGCGGCTTCAGAACGTCACGGCCATCTACGATCGTCTCCTCGCTACACCCACCCAGGGATACACAACACATTTTGACAAGTTTGTATCTGTTACCTTCTTTTATTGTTATGTTTACTTTGTAAATTTTGTTTTATACAATTCACCATTCGTTATGGTAATTTATTTTTCCTTCAGTTTCCAAGAACACATTGCATCGCATTCTCCAAATAAAGTATTGGAGGTAGATGAATTTTTGGCGCTTCGCAAAGAGGTCAAGCATATGCTTAAGCACGAGACTAAGACCGAAACGGATACTGATGCTCCACCTGGTGACGATTCTTCCAGCGATGTTGTAAGTGTGGAAAAGTGGATCGGTTGCTTTTAAAATATTTTGTATTTTTTTTCTGTTGTATTAGAGTTCAGAGGAAGAGAATAAAGCAATTAGGGAGAGAATAGTATCGATTAGACGAAAGATACACAAGAATACAGTTAATGCTGTAACATCTCGCTGGAACTATGAAGAAGGGGTAAGTTTCTAAAATTTTTAATGCCTTTTTTTATTTAATTTTTTATATGATGCTATTTTTGCATTTGACCACACTGTCTCGTTTTGATAGTGTAGTTCTGAGTTAATGAAGACATTGCAAGGGCCATCTGATAAACTAACTTTAAAACGCTTTAATTTTACTGTTCTCTTATTCATTAAATTAAAGTAATTATATGTTATTCTCTTCCTAGATAAAACGTCCCTATTTTCATGTCAAACCTCTTGAAAGGTGTCAGTTGAAGAACTGGCAAGATTATCTCGATTTTGAGATACAACAAGGCGATCAAACAAGAATAATTATTTTGTTTGAAAGGTGTTTAATTGCCTGTGCTTTGTATGAGGAGTTTTGGCTCAAGTATGTGCACTATTTGGAGGGTCTTAAAGACCCTGCATTGCAGCCTAAGATAAAGGATGTTTACGAACGCGCTTGTACAATACATCATTTGAAAAAGCCTAACTTACATCTTCAGTGGGCTATTTTTGAAGAGTCACTGCAGAATTTTGCTCGTGCAGCAGAGATATTAGTCAACTTGGAAAAATCTGTACCCAATTTGCTGCAGGTAATATTTATATATCTATGCCAGAAATATTTTACCTAAAAGATCTACAATTCGTTTTAAGAAATAAAATAAACAAAATATCTTAATTTAATAAATTGATAAATAAAACAATATTAATCAGTGAATCATCTATAATAGATATTCTGGTTTACTTATCAATTTATAAAAAACCATGTTTTACAAGTGTCCCAAAGACATTTTAAATGTTATATCTTAATTTAGTTGATGGTTTTTTTTTATTCACAGGTTGCTTATAGACGTATAAATTTAGAACGACGTCGTGGTGATTATGACAAGTGTTGTCAACTGTATGAACACTACATAAGCAATTCAAAAAACAAAACAATTTCAACTAATTTAGCCATCAAGTATGCCCGTTTCTGCCTAAAGATTTTGAAGAATGCGGAAAAGGCAGTAGAAATATTAAACGCTGCTCTAGCTAAAGATTCGAATAACCCACGATTGTATCTTCAGTTGATTGACATTCACCTTCAGAAGGACGATATCGACGAGGCTGAGGTGCTTTCCCTGGTAGATTCTTTTTTGACTAAGGAAGGTGGAGATCTTGAGCAGAAGGTTATGTTTGCTCAGAGAAAGCTAGAATTCCTGGAAGATTTTGGTTCGGATATTCAGGCGGTGCAGAAGGCGTACGAAGAGTATCAAAAATATGTCAAACAGAGTAAGGAAAACAAGAAAAAGGAAGCTACAAAAGTGTAAGTGTCATTGAATTAGCTGTATATTATATTTGAATCACTCAACATAATGATCTTGTTGTTTCTGTTTTAGTGAAAGTACTGTTAGTAAGAAAGACAAGAATCCGTCTCAGACGTCTTCTCAGTCAAATTCGTACGGGAATTATGGTAGTTACGGAACGTCAGGATCGGGATCGTACAATCAATACTCTGGATCTCAGGGGCAGTATAACTACTCCCAGTATGGCCAGGGTGACCAATATCAATATCAAAATTGGCAGTATCCTCAAGGTGGTTACGGTGGTTATAACCAGTGGGGAGGTTACGGGGGCGGTTATGGTTACTGATGCCCCCGTTATTAATATTAAAAGTGTACAACCTATTTTCAAAATTGGCAGTGAGTGAATATGATATTTTGGCTAGTTTGACTGTTGTTAAGGATGAATTCAGTTACGAAGGGTTATGTATAGTTGAAGACTGTAGGGTGCCACTGGAAACTGCAATGAACAATTTTTATTATCTGACTACAAAGAATAAAAACGTTCTATAATAAGGTACAAAAAGATAAAAACTTCGTGTATATCCCTGTAGTTAATGGGTTATCTTTTGTGGTTGCTTTTAACTTTAAGACAATTGTAAAAACGAAAAATCACCCTTTATTAAGGCGTTAGTGTGTATGGAAAAGTTATTTTTATTTTTTCTTTAGTTTAAAATAATAAAATTGCATTTAAAAACCAGTTAAAAGCTTTTCCTATTTCTAATTTTATGCTAAATTTTGGAATTAGAATTATATACCAAGTGTTGTGGAACATAGTTAATTAGATATATTCAGTTTTAGGATGCTATGCAGATTTTGGAAGTTAGTGCGTCTTAATTAACAACAATTTACAGTAATTTGTATATTTACTTACAGAAAATAAAAGAATTCATAACAATTGTGTTTCTTTATGTGTAATTATATACTTTGCCTAGAAATACAGATCAATTATATTCATATGAAATAAATAATTATTGAAAACAGTTTTGGTAAGTGTTATTTGTGTTGCCAATCCATTTTCAAAAAACCATGTTATGTCGGAACAAGTACTAAAGGATTAAAAGAATTGTTTTGAGTTTTAATTAAAATTTCTAGAAGAAAAAAAAATTAAATGCTCTATGCGTATATTTAATATATACCGGTAGATGTCAGAGTAAGTACTTTTTTGGGAATTATATTTTGTGAATTTGCTTATACAGTGCAAGAATTGTAAATAGGATTTCGCATCATCCTGCTGAAAAACGAATACAGAAAACTGGAATCATCAAAAATAGTAAAGATTAATGCAGCTTTCTGCAAAGGAAACTACTTGTAACCCTATACATGTAATAGCCTGCAGCCTGTAGGAGGATAAAAATTGAAAATATATTGAAAAATAGGATGTAAAGATGTAAAGATTAGTGAAAATGTATACATTGATGACTTATTTTTGAAAGTTATAATGTTAAAACAACTGATGATAATTTCTTAATTTTTATTTTAAGTACTTAATTGTAAATAATTTTTTTAATATAATTGCTATAGACGCATGAGGGTTGAAAAATAGGCTGTAAAACTGTAAAGTTTAGTGACAGCTTATTAATTGACCAATTTTTTAATTTTTTAAACTTACAGTGCTGAAAGCAATTGATGATAATTTCTTAATTATTACTATGCTAAAGTTCAAACTTTTAGGTACCTAATTGTAATTAATTTTTTAATATAATTGAGTACTTGTTAGATTTCTTTTCTTTTTTAAAGAAAAAAGGATCATGAATGCACACGACTAATTTATTTCAACTTTATCTCAATTTTTGCTCTCTTGTTCGCTTTTATTTAGATAATCCTTATTTTTTCATTATATAAAGTACTGTTTGTCTATTGTTAACACAAATTGAATAAATTATAATGAAAATGTATTTCTAGTGATAATCGGTATCTACGAGTTGTCCTTGATACTATACAACATTATGGGCGTCTTCGCACTGAATTCTTTACAGATCTTATCACAGTTGTTTTTGCCCTTTTCTTTAGGAAGCTAGTGAGTTGATAATATCCTCGGATTTTTGCTTTCTCGATGTATGTTGAATGTATTTTTCTGTCTGTTTGAATATTTATTTGCTTATTTAGCAAATTATCGAGTTCTTAATGATTTTTTAACGATCTAATGTAATTTTTTTCTCTTAAGATTAGTTTTTTTTTTAATAATTACAAATCGTTAAAATGGACTTCTTTTATCGTAAATCTCTTTCTGTTAATGTGAGACGACTTCGTTATTCTGATATTTATAATCAGATATTTATCAATTGTTCCGTGTGCTGGTGATGTTGTGATAATTTTTGCGCGGATATTAATTTAAGCTCATATAAGCATGAACTGATGCTCTATTTATTTTTAGTAAAGATAAATTAATGCGCGTCGGGCACAAACATGGTCTAATTGTTACTGTTAAAATAACTAATATTAATAAATAATAAATGATGATAACGGTGTGCTAAAGCAAGTTTACGACTTTTGGAATTAGAAGAAACGCTATAAAAATCAAAATAATTAACTACGTACAACCCAAAGTAAGTAGGTAAGTTAATTGGAGTGGAAATACGTATGTAATAAAAGTAAGTTAAGCTGAATACAAACTGCCTCTATCAGATTAAAATGTGAGCGTAATAGAACGAATGATAACAATCGATGTTTAAAAACTAGTAATTATTTAAAAAAGAAAATAAAATTTGATCGGCAAGCATTTATTAATCTCAAGTTAAAAAAAAAATGGCAAAAGTAAAACTACATGAGTAGTATACATATTATGTAGATATTTCGTACTATTTTCATCGAAAGGGAGGTAGCGGTGTTTGAGAGACTTTTGGAATGCCCTATTAAGCTTTGGACTGAATGTTAAATCATCCTTACATGATTTCAATACCTAGTTAATTGTTTTTAACTAATTAGTAACACAAATAACTAAATTAAAAAACTAAAAAAATTAATAGTAAAGTAAAATATCATAAGCGTAGTTAGGGGAGAGCGCGGGTGGTGTACACCCTATAAAACTCATTTTTTACCATCGAAAATATTGTTTTCATTTTTTTTATCTTAAGAAAAAGGTTTTAAAAAGCACCATATTGTAAAAAAAACAACTGCGCATTGTTCATGATACATAATAATGGTTGTTTTAATTATTTTCTAATGTGGCAAAATATGGGCTTTGAAAATTAAATTTTTAAACATATTGGGCTTTTGGTTATTATTTTTTCGCGTAACCGTTGCATAACTCAGAGGAAGGCAATAATAAATTTTATGAATCGCAATTGTTTGATTAAAACTAATCATTATTCATGCGGTTAGTTTTAATGAGCAAAGCTGAAGAGGCATTAGGTACGCCATTATTTAGAGTTAATTAAATTCCTAAAATACTTCTTCTTTGGTTCGAAAATATAATAAGTCTGCATTGTCTCTTTTATGATGGTAACTATAGCCGACATTTTGAAAGACTGTTTTCGAAAACGTTTAAAAATAATAAAAGTAAGGTTTGGTTTTTACAGAATGATGAGATACTCGATAAAAAACTTACTTACTTTCTCAAAAATTTAATAATTAATTTGTTTTGTGAGGGAGTATTACGTAAAAAGGCTTTTTTTCACTGTTGTTGATAAAGGGAACGGAGGGGACTTTTTATAAATCTTAAGTAATATAACGGATTACAAAATACAGAAAATGTTAATATTCACAAGTATCATATTGATTATAAATGACAAAATATCACTGGTCATTAGTCATTACGAATAGGGGTGGTTCTGGAATGGACAACAGTCCGAATTTTTCGAATAAGTTTCGCATTCGAGTGAAATTTAAAATTTTACAGAACAATAATCTTCACTCTTAGGTGGACTTCCACGTGATAAAAAAGAAAATTTTGATGTATTGACTGGTGTGACCAATTTGTGTCCTTGCTATTTTTCAGTGACACGTATTAGGTACATGTATGAATTATTTTTCTTTGGCTCTAATGAAACCCTTCTCAAAAGCCGAAACAAAAGATTTGAATGCTTCAAAGAAACTATTATTTGAAAAAGTGACATTGAAAGAAACTGAATTTTGAGTGAACCAGATTTATGAAAGAGAAAAGCGAGTCAATAAAGTCCGTGGACAATAAACGACTTCTAGTTTTGATTTTTTTAATTCGTTAAATAATTCAGATTTTTAAATTTTAATTTTAATATTTAATTTGCAAAGATTCTTACGTCTTATTATTTGAGGAGGATTTACGTTTTTCTTTTTTCGCTTATATAGGGGCCTAAAATAATTGAATGTATGATTGTATAATGCCTGTGAACGTCCCTTGATGCACTTTTATGATATAGGTACCAAGGTACCGTCGCTGAAATCACCATTTCAGATTTAGTGGAGCAGACAGTTATTTTCGAGGAATAATTTCACAAAAGAAAAACAAAAAATTTTGCAACTATCTAAATAATTTGAAGATACAATAGTATTAGTGAGTAAAAACGTGCTTTTTGATGAAATCGAAATAACTTTCTAAAAGCTGTTGGTGCAAGCATTAGCGGCGCCAAATTCAGAATCCGAGTACTCACGATTATTCACATACATACTAATATAGGTACATAACTTGTTGGTACCCACCATGTAGGTATAACAGCAACTCATTATAGGTACCAACTGCTTATAGCTGCGTATAATGTATGTATTTCACCGGTACTTGTTTAATTCTCCTCTTTCTTCGGACCGAAAGTAGGTTGGGAGAAAGTATCTTTTTAAAATGAAGAGCACATTTGGTTTAGTTCAGCAATTGCAGCTGTGCTGTGTGGTTTGTTAACGGTCATTGAAGAAAATTTAGGGTGAGTGTGTATTTGTTTGCAAAGTGGACCCCTATTTAATGTGTGCCGTCCGTATTTTCGTAGTTGTGACTCGTTTCTTTTCGAATGGTCGAAAACGTTTTCTTTTTGTAACAGGCTTTTGAACAACTTTCTTTTTATTAAAATCTTTTAAGAGTTCTGGCAAACATGCAAAACAGCTAACCCATTTTAAATTTGTTCTTATTCGTTTTGATTTTACTTTTCAATGCTTAGAACTTCTTAAAGTAAAAGAAATATAGGAAAGAAGGGATGCTTTTTCTTATAAAAATAAAATAGTATTTGCTTTTTATCACTTACGAGTCTTTGACTGGCCATGAAAAAGCTTAGAGTATGTGAAATTGTGAATAGCGCAACTAGGTCAAATGGGAATTAACTAATAGTACCTACAATATAAGGTGTAAATGTATACAACATACTTCCAACAAATTTCTACATGTACTTGCATCTACAATCTAGAGTTTATATACATACGTCTGTGTTCGTAGATATAAATAATGTATTAAAAGTTTATAACAATAACTTATATAGGTAGTTTTGCACATAATAAATGTTTATTATATCTATTCGAGGCTTTTTCGTTGTTCGCAGTATAACTCATGTTAATTTAATGACTGACCTTTGTTGTAGTAGTATTTTTTTAAAGTTTTTGCGTATAATATAATAGTATATTGATGTTGATGAGTTCCGGTTTACACGGTTTAGTTATTAATAAAAAAATCTCTGCAGTTGTTTTGCAACTTTTGAGTTTTTATTACTATTGATATGGAGTTTTAACAAGTATCGTTGACAACTGTTTTCGAACTTTTTAAATTATATCAGTTGTTTAATTAACAATGAATGTTTTCATCGTAAGGTTCATGTAAAAGAGATGATTTTTTTTTAATGTTATTTGTCAGCTATTTGTTGGATGAATGCAAACAGCTTTCTAGAAGTAATTAATAAAACGTTTACCTTTTCACTACATAGGCCTGACCTAATGATCTGTAATATTTTATGCTTTATGGTTGCGAGTGTAAGTACCATTTAGGTACCAATAACAATTGTAACAAATAAATTTCTTACATGGTATGTATGAAACCAATTAGATAATCTTGAGCAAAAGGGGCTTTTTAAATTAAGGTACATTCAGTCTCACGAAAATTCATCGTTTGCGATTTTCAGTGTACGCAACTGTACCTGTTGGCATTCAATATTTAGTCGTTGATTCTAGATTACCATAATTATTACATTCCCGATCCAAAACGATGAGTTGCGTGATTAATCTACAGATTTATCATATTAATGATCAATTGTGTCCGAACAATATTAATTACGGTTTACCATCAAACCACTGCATTATGCCAGTATTCGATTCAACTAATCATTGTAGTGTTTACCTCTAGTTCTAATAATGTCTGCAGGTAAGTTAAAATAGAAGAACGAGATAAAAAAGACAAACTTTTTTTAAAATCATCACAAATGCTCGCCACTTTTTATGATCATTTTCATATTTGAAAGTTTTAGCTTTCTTATCTAATTAGTTTAATGATATTGCAAGTTACTTTTACGTTTCTAATTAAAAAAAATCACTGAAAGTTGTTGAATTGATCAGTGTGTTTTGCAAAATTTCATACAATCTATTTTTGGTCATAATTGATCTCATTATGACTTCGGTATGTTATGGTGTATGTTGAATTAAATTTTGTGCCTTGATTACTTTTTTTTGTACTTGGTGCCAAGTAAAATGTTCGGTTCGTCATCCGGTAAACGTTATGTAGGTCATTGCTAAGGTTCCTACAAGAACGACCAAAGTAATAACACGGAGAAAGTTGCGAGAGGTACGTGAAGAAAGTGAAAGGTCCAAACTCGTCGACTGACTGACGACCGTCGAAAAGCTCGTTTAGGTGCACGATATTTTCTGTTTTGGATGTTTCCGCTTTCCGTTTGGACCCGGTCACGCCGGCCGTGCTCTTTTTGGACAGTAGTTTATCTTTATACAATGGGAATCGTTTTAGAGAAATTGTGATTGTGCACATTCTTTGTTTTCAGCGTGGTACCAGTCACGTGTTTTTTTTTATATCACGAAAACTACTTAATTATAATTTTCAGTGCTGTCTTTGGAGGGGGAGGGCGCTCATAGACAAATGGGCCTTGTTTTCGTAACATATTTCTTTTTAATTTTAAGAAAATTCAAATAATACTGGAACAGTAAAGGGACAGGCATTATTATCATCCGCCATTTTGGGCCCAGCCAGTAGAAATGATAGTCCAGACTCATTTGGATTTAGAAGTGTCCTCAATTATTGAAATAAAAATTGAACAATAACTATTTCTCTTTATTTTAAGGTGTATTTTTACTTCATTTTTTCATAATTGTTTGATATAGGTGATATAACGTGGGCTGTCGAGGACCATAGCTAGATTGTCAGGAATTGCCCAAAATGGTGGATGATAATACTTATGAACTTGGTGCCTTAATAGTATTGGCTCCTAAACGCTGTATCATTGGATCTATAATAGTATAATTGTAATTGTGTGTTTTGATAAGCAATAGCTGAATGAGGCCCTTTCTTCAAATTTTAGATATGGGCTTCGCTTTACCTAAAGCCGCTACCGATAATTTTAATATTAAATCTGAATGTCTAGGTGCAGCATGGTTACTTGATAGGGGCCGTCTATAAAATACCAGAGATGTGATTTATTTGAAATACTTGCAATTAAAATGCAAATACAAAATAAAAAATACCTATTTTTATTTTGCATTTAAACACATTTTAGAGAAAAGCATTTTGTATTTTATTTGAAATACTATTCCAAAAGTATTTTCTATTTGTAAAATGCAAAATACAATTTTGCCGTTAAAAGTTTTGCTAGTATCATCCATAAAAAATTATATAAAATGAATAAAAGTTGCTCACATTGGCCATTGAACTGAACAGAGCCCAAAAAATTATAAACTCCTCGGAAATGGATAATCTAAAATATTGGATCGATATTGTTTTCCAGGTTAAATGTCATGGTCCATGGAATTTTAAAGTTCCAAATTGATATCAGTACTTGCCAAATCACCACTTATCGTATCTTTAACAAGAAACTACGAAATTCTATGAATTACGACAAAACAGCCCCCAAAACAATATCGAATTGTTGTGTAAAACTAAAAACTAGAAGATATTGTGGTGTGCTAATAAATGCCTATAATCCCAAATTCTTAGAAAATGATTCTTATTACAATGTGTAAAAGATCAGAAACAAAACGGAGTTGTAAATATTTTGATATAAAATGATACGTATTTTGCATTTAGCATTTAAAATTCAAAAGGGAAATCTATATTGTATTTGACATTTGAAATAACAGAACAAACAAGTATTTTATGCATTTTGTATTTAAGTACTTTTAAAAACCATTTTGTACATCTCTATAAAATACGTTACTCAAAAATTCATCTTTTTGGACACCTACTTCCTTCTCACATTTTTAGCGGCCCCCTGGCAAAAGCTAACCCCTCCCCTATAAACGATTTCGTGTGATTAAAAATAGCAATGAGAATAAGTTTCTATCGTAATGAAAGATTTTAAGAAATGTTAAGTTAGGGAAAAAATTAAAATAAAATTGATGAACTGCGAACTTCACATCTCCTTAGACTCCTCTACCCCTTACTTTATCTCGTCACACTAAGCAATACCCCTCCTTCCTCTTGATTTGCGAATGTATTTGAGTTGAGTTTTATTTTTGGTTGTAAATGATTATGATATGAAAACCTACAAGAAATTCTGAAATAGAGTAATGAAACATGGATTATACGATAAAAATATCCTTGTGCCGTATGGCTAAAGAATTAGCTGCAGGAAATACTTATCTGACATTGACGTTAACGTGTAGGTAATAGTTTGGTTATTTAGTTTTCGCAATTTGTACCTATGCTTTTAAAATTAAAGCGTGTCAATATTATTTACGGAGACATAAAACTTTCACCGATAAAGTCATAAAAACTTTATTTTATTGGTCTGCTTTAACGTGATAACGGTGTGTTCCTTTTCTTTGCTTTTTTCACTTTCAATTACATACGTATAGGGATATATTTGTAAGCAAACAACTTTAGTACGATATGCCGTTAATCTACAAGCAGTTGGTCATAGTCTGATAATTCTCCAGTTCAACCGTTTACCATTTGTTCGGTTTTTTCTGATAAATGGTTTGTCTTTCATAAGTTTCTTCCCTCCACGTCTTCTTAATACTTGAACTTATATTCTGACAACGTCTAATCCAAAAAGGATTTCGTGAGTGAATTGTAGATAAAGATTACATGACAACAAAACTAAAATCCTGTAAAATTCTCCGTTGACATCCTCATCATAAGGTCGTCAGTCCTAAGACTGNAATTTTATTATTTTACAGAATTCCTCCCCTATGAGACATAAAGCTAATCATTTTATAAACATGTCACCTGCCGCCGCTAAACTTATAGAATTTGGATTAACTTTTCTAAATGATAAATTAAGAAATAGAACTTTTGTAAGTATCTTTACAGAGTAATGTTTTCTTTTTAATTTGTGATTTATCAATATGCCGTACCTTTAAAGTATGACAAAGTGAAGTGGTGTACTTTCATTTTCTACGATAACTTTTAATTTGTGTGGTACATTTGTCTCACGGTGAGGGTTATATTACGAATAAAAATTTTAGATAAATCCGTCTTTAGACGCCTTACATGAGAAAATCGACCCGAAAATTCTTCCTAAAGAATATGGTGGTGTAGTTCCTTTGAGCGAACTCACGGAAAAATTGAAAACCTTACTAAAAGAAAGGCGAGAACAAGTGTTATCGTTAGACGACATGTATATTGAAATAGATGAAAGAGAATGCAAACTGGTATCGGAGATGAACGAAGAGTTAGGGGTGGGTTTGGAAGGAAGTTTTAAGAAGCTTACCGTTGATTAATCATATCTAGTCCATTTCTTTTGATTTTCATTATATTATGTGACCTCGAACTCGAATACTAATAATAGATACTAAAAAGAATAAAAATCCATGATAATCATCACTTGATCTGAATTATTAAACCACTGCTGAACTTTTTGATTTATTAACTACGATTTTTATGATTTCGTTTACTTTGCATGATGTCTATCTAACACTATCTACACTTTATTTCCTAGAAATATTTGACTGTTACCAAATTGAAAATTTATTATTTATTTCTTTTTTCATTTTATTTCTGTCTCCTTTACTTATCACTGAATATAACTTGATTTCGATATTCTGTGACACTTTTTTCTAAATTTCTTTATCTTACTTTGTTTCGTACTTTCCGGATCGAAAGAGTAATCGGGTCTTTGCAATCAAATTTTAAGTCCCGGACCATTCCCGAAAATGGTCCCGAAATGGAAATATGTAATATTTCTTCTACAAAAAATTTTTATTAAAAAAGATAACGCTTTATGGAAACCAAGTATTTTTACGTGATAGTAATAGTAATTACATTCATTATCAAAAAAATATGAAATGTTAAACAATAAGACCTAATGCCGACAAATTCTTTCGGGACTATTTATGGAACCCATTTTTGGACAAAATCCAGGGACAATTTCGAGATCAAATACCGCAACTGGAAACCTTATTTTTTACTCCGTAACTTTCAATTTATTTTGTGGTGATATGAATAATATTGATGATACTATTGTGATAATTTTATAGTTGAAACTTTTTCTCTCTTTCTTGTACTTCTATTCTGTCATCTCTCACAACTTTTCGTCGATATAGTTTTTTGTAATAGCATTATTTTTTAAGATATATATTGAAAAATAGGCATTTGTTGGTGCGGAAGTAGATATGTATAAAACACGTCGATATGTAATAATAATAAAGTTAATGCTAAATATTAAGAACTTAAACGTACCTTCTTTCTTAAAAAAATTACAATATGCAAAAAATATTGTATGATGGTAAATTATTGATACTTGTTAATGATAATTAGTTACTACTGTAATTTTTAATATTTTTGTTAAAAACAATTTTGGTATAATATTTTATAGTTAAATGTCAAGGTGGTTTTATGTTACCGTTTGTTGTATAGTTTATATCGTATATAATATATATACAAAATGTATAATGCATACGCAACACTTAATTACAAATAAAGTAATAAAAGTAAGATTTTGCATGGTTAGTTAATGTTTTGTTTTTCATAATTAAAAATTTTGGTTATTGTTATTCGTTACGAAAATTTTTATAAAATAAACTACTGTATATGTTTTATTTTCTTTTTATTTCTTCAATAAAGTCCACAAATACACATGCAATAAATAATTTAAACAAATTTTACTACCATGTGCCTGTACATATAAAAATGAAAAATTACATACATGAGTATAAGAACGATTACGAACCAACAAAGTACATTACAAGAAATTTTTATTCGATTTAGGTGGAAAACCAGACCTCTAACCAAAGGGGGAGATACCGAGGGGTGCTTCAGTTGGCTTTTTCAACGTGTGTTATTAATTAGTAAATATGTTAAAAATAGACTTGTTTCATATTTCATAAACTCAAAACGTTTGAATCCAATATCAAACATTTTCATAAATCTTTAGACAAACACAATATTACTGAAAAATTGATTCCACTGCATCAATCTGCCACAGGTCTGATTAATTAGCGTTCGTTACGCAGTTGGAGATATTATTTGTTATATGCCAGAAAACCATGGAAATAGACACCTCTGTGCTTTATCGAGTCATTTTTAACTCACTTATGTGCTCGTGAACAGTTAATTTAGAAATTCCAAAATTGTATAATATGTTTGAAACAAGGTGTACACCCACGCGTGCAAAATATACCCAGCGAACTTGGTGAAAAAGGGAAAGTTAGAAGACGCTATGGATGTCGACAAGGAAATTGAGATAGGGTTGTAGGGCATTTTCGGAGACTTGAAGAGGTATTCAGAGATCAATTAGAAGTAGATCTAGAAATTCTGGGAAACGTTACTGTTGTATTCTTTTCTTGTTCTTTAAATAATGTTGTTTTAGGTAAGGTACCTTAGAATTAATAAAGTAACGCATTTTTCGCTGAAATTTGAAAATCAACTTTCTGAAAAAATATCGGTATCTATAAGCAATTATTTCGCACAAAAATATCAATAACGCTATGACATGCGCCATTATTAAAGCCAATAGTGGCAATTTAAAATGTTGCGCCGTAAAAGTTGTCTCCTTTTTATTTGTAGTTTCGTTTTGTTTCATCTTTTTAAACATGATCGTGTCGGATATGATTTTGAACGAAATTCCGCTTTGCTCTAAAAAGCGTAGCAACTGGGACATTTTATTTCGCAGTAGAAAATTTTCTTTAGTAAGAATAACAGAGTAATAAGTGATCTCCGGAGTTTTAAAACAGTACAGAGACGATCCGTAAGGCTCATTATTTAACTTGTATTTAATGTGAGTTTCTCCGGCTAGGACTGCAGAGTTTCTGTAATTTATAACTCTCTGCAAACACCAGTCTATATTTTCAGTAAAAAATGCATTTTTTTTTAAATAGACCGCACTCGGCGAATCGTCTTTATAATATGTACGTTCGCCTGTCGTAATTAAGAGGTCTAATTTATGATTCAACATTTCTTCAATTGTTCCAATTTGATGTTCATTTGTTTTTCGGAGAATAATAACTGTTAAAAGTGACTCGTAGACTGCGAGTCTAAAAAAGCTGTATATCATCCACACACTCAGCAATAGTCTTACGGTGGAAATTCTTGATTTAAATCTTGTAGAAACGCCCAAATTGATTCTATAAATAGCCATAAAAATATCATCCAATTTTCTTGTATCACATTCATCTCGAGAATGATATCCAACAATTTTATAAATAACAAATGAAAATATGATCAGAGCGATTAAAGATGGAACCGATAAGTTCGATGTCTCCCGTACGCGACTGGTAAGCGATTTCTTCCCTGATGGTGCAATGCACCAACTAACTTTATCGTAATGGGCATAAAAAATTATCGAATTAAGAATGGTTCTGTCATGAACAACGGCGAAGAAATTTCCTATGGCTACATCCGTTTTATCTTCTAGAAGGAGTTTCACAGCCCCGAAACCGGTACCATTTTCGTAAGCAAAGCCCCAGGTTTCTGCTCTTCGATAAATTGGAGTCAAATTAGCTAAATCCGTGATCATATTGAATTGACGCGCTTCAAAACCATTTTTAACTTTTATAGGACCCTTTCGATGTACGTATTTTGGCTCAATGATAACGTGGGGCTTATAATCCATCGCACTAACTCGAACTGGGCAACCATTAAATTTATTGGGAATATTATTATTGAACCAGGATTTATCTTTTTGATATTTACCTTCAGAGCAAGAGTCGACTTTTTTAATAGATGCTAATTTATTGGAATAACAACTTCCTTCATCGAAGGGGAACCAATTAAAAATGTCATACGTCTCATCGGTTGTGCCATTGACATCTGTTGAGGGCAATATAAGGGCGCTATAAAGTAATTGCTCTTTTATTATTATATTTCCTATAATCCTCAAAGTTTCCTTCCTGGTTAGACAAATTCCAGCAACAACTACGAAATTAGCTTCGTAATGTAATATTACATGAGCTTTAAGAAACTTTATGATATTTGCAAATTTTTCACAGTCGTCACCAATCATTATAACGTAATTTGAAATAGCTCTTTTGTAAAAATATTTTACATTAGTTGTATGCCATTTGCTGATATCTTTCGTGTTGATTACTGTGAACGAAAAGTTCCTCATTTGTAATATGGTAGTAATGATGTCGTCATGAGGGGAGGCTAATTCTGACGCTTTTTCTTCAAACAAAAGTACTAAACTCTGATTTTCACTTATCTGTTTGCCAATGCCGTTAACAAGGCAATACTTTAGAGATGTATTACTCCTTAACTTACGATTAGTAAGTACACAAATTACTGTTGTACAAAAAAATGATGCAACTAATATTCGTAAAATGCCCATTGTTATTAACCGAACGAAATCTAGGACGTAAAATGAAAAAAAGTCGAAAAATTTGCTTTTATATCCGTAAAGACAATGAGAATTTACTACTAAATGAAATTGCTTTTTAATCAATGTTTTAATAATTTATAATANTTACGACAAAACAGCCCCCAAAACAATATCGAATTGTTGTGTAAAACTAAAAACTAGAAGATATTGTGGTGTGCTAATAAATGCCTATAATCCCAAATTCTTAGAAAATGATTCTTATTACAATGTGTAAAAGATCAGAAACAAAACGGAGTTGTAAATATTTTGATATAAAATGATACGTATTTTGCATTTAGCATTTAAAATTCAAAAGGGAAATCTATATTGTATTTGACATTTGAAATAACAGAACAAACAAGTATTTTATGCATTTTGTATTTAAGTACTTTTAAAAACCATTTTGTACATCTCTATAAAATACGTTACTCAAAAATTCATCTTTTTGGACACCTACTTCCTTCTCACATTTTTAGCGGCCCCCTGGCAAAAGCTAACCCCTCCCCTATAAACGATTTCGTGTGATTAAAAATAGCAATGAGAATAAGTTTCTATCGTAATGAAAGATTTTAAGAAATGTTAAGTTAGGGAAAAAATTAAAATAAAATTGATGAACTGCGAACTTCACATCTCCTTAGACTCCTCTACCCCTTACTTTATCTCGTCACACTAAGCAATACCCCTCCTTCCTCTTGATTTGCGAATGTATTTGAGTTGAGTTTTATTTTTGGTTGTAAATGATTATGATATGAAAACCTACAAGAAATTCTGAAATAGAGTAATGAAACATGGATTATACGATAAAAATATCCTTGTGCCGTATGGCTAAAGAATTAGCTGCAGGAAATACTTATCTGACATTGACGTTAACGTGTAGGTAATAGTTTGGTTATTTAGTTTTCGCAATTTGTACCTATGCTTTTAAAATTAAAGCGTGTCAATATTATTTACGGAGACATAAAACTTTCACCGATAAAGTCATAAAAACTTTATTTTATTGGTCTGCTTTAACGTGATAACGGTGTGTTCCTTTTCTTTGCTTTTTTCACTTTCAATTACATACGTATAGGGATATATTTGTAAGCAAACAACTTTAGTACGATATGCCGTTAATCTACAAGCAGTTGGTCATAGTCTGATAATTCTCCAGTTCAACCGTTTACCATTTGTTCGGTTTTTTCTGATAAATGGTTTGTCTTTCATAAGTTTCTTCCCTCCACGTCTTCTTAATACTTGAACTTATATTCTGACAACGTCTAATCCAAAAAGGATTTCGTGAGTGAATTGTAGATAAAGATTACATGACAACAAAACTAAAATCCTGTAAAATTCTCCGTTGACATCCTCATCATAAGGTCGTCAGTCCTAAGACTGATTGGACACGCATTTCCACTCTTACCTATCCTGAGTTAGTTTGGTGTGTTTTTCTTGGGATATCAGAGTGCCATACCGATCCTCGCGATCTCTGCCACCCTGAGTTCTGAAAGATTTGCTGCCCTGTTTCAGGGACTTGTCTTAATCTGGTTTCCCTTTAAGAACTCCTCCATTATGGTTGAACCTATAGTCCGGCTCCCTAAATCATTGAAACTCGCAAGCCGATCCACCCACTCTAGTTTGTACAAGAGTTTCATCAAGGTTCAAGTCTCGTCGGATCGGAAAAAATGTGGAACGCTTCACAATTTTTTTTGTTGACTTCCTACTAGGGTTCAGAAAGTAGACACTCAATACCTATGATGAGAATTTAGTTAACAGAAAATAATATAAAACTGAAGAAAGCTATCGTAACAAGAGAAAAAACAAAATGAATCTTTCCATTGCATTGTGTTATTTGCATATTTCGAATTTGCAATAGTGTATTGCAAAATAGAAACGCTAAAAACTCTTTTGTGTCTACGTTTGTACCTAAGCCTCTTATCAAAACTTCAGTTATTCAAAATTGCTCAATTAAATTCTATAAGTTGCAATACAACGAGTATAAACGATAAATAATGTACAATTACGCGATTTTTATCGGCAACTTTTAGAAATCATTAGATCGAAACATGTTTACAAACGTTTCATTTATTATGTGCCCGTAGTTTTCATTGTTTTTCTTTTCTGTGTTTAGAAATGGGCTTGGGAGGCCAGGACTGCGTTGCGAACGAGAATGGAATCCCGTTGCCTGAAGAGGTCCGCAAAGCAGCTCTGGAAGAATTGAGAGAAGATGAAAATATTAAACAACAATCACTCGATCAGATGAAAGAATGGATTAATAAACATCCCAACATTAAAAGATGTCGAACAGGTAAATTTATGATCAGTTTTCTCAATTTTAATTTTAGGTTTCGATTAAAATTCTGCATTTGCATTTTTATTTGAGTTTTATTTTCTTGAGCACACCAATATTGAGTCTTCTATTTTTAAAAGATGCGTGGGACTTGAGGTGGTTGAATCTAAACAATAATAGTCTTTAACTTTATAGTATAGAGTGCATCTTTATAAAAAAGATTGTAATTTGACTTTAATTAATTTGCCAATTGTAATGGTATTCCTAATGTTTGATGTCTAAATTTAGCATTGATGAAAAGAACTAGAGAAATATATTCATTAGATTACTTCAGCGATATTCCTTAATTCTGGATATAAAGAATATGAGAATAAGACATACCGAAGGTTCTGTGTTATTCCCTCATTTCATGGAAGAAAATGCAGCATTTTTTCATTCTTGGGTGCATGATAAAGATACTATTCTTCCCATGCTACATAATATAGGTAACTTTTCTATAATAAGGTACCGTGTGACAGAGATGCAAAATCAATAAAAAATTACTTACACAATGTTCTAAATACATGTACCTGCAGCATACTGGAAATTATTAGGATATATTTCTGTTTTTGTTAACATCTTTAATATTCTTGATTTAGTAATAAAAACTCCAAATTATGATATTAAGGTGTATATGACTTTCAATAGGTACAATAATTATAATGATTCTAAACCATCCATTATGCTAGATTGTAATCTTTCAAACTGGTAATTTTATGGTGAACAATGAATAATTCAGAATTCAAACTGAAATAAAATTATATAAGTACATTCCGTTTCCTTTTATTTTTATGTTTTATTTAAGTTTTCGGAAATGATTAGTTTGCTGATAACCATCTCTTCACAATTTTTTATTATGGTTAATGATGATTTATAAAGGCTGTGGTGTCACGAAAAAAAAAAGTAAACAGCCTAACTAAGTATCATTTAACCCAAATATACCTGAATATTGTAAATGTGCGTATGCGATCTGTGAATAATATTTACAGTTAATATCAATTATATGACGGTCGATAATTTCTAACGTCGATCAATAATTACTTACGCATCTTCTAAAGATCAACAATACCTATACCCATTGCCTAGGTATTCAGTAATGAATGCAAATACATTGATTTACAACAATAAATTTTGAGATTAGAAAGATTTTTGATAACAATAAACTAAAATAAATGAAAATGCAGGAGAGTTTTAATAAAACTGTCCACTGACTATATATTTAGTTATATGATCAAAATACTTTTACTATACGCATTTTCTGTAGTTTTAATCACAAACCAAAGTTTTCCAAAACAGAAAAAGGAATATTACTTACTTAATGCACTTTTTTGAGTAAAATAAATTGACGTAGATTTTTGAGTTGTTTGTTTTTTCAATAGAAATTATAACTGACTAATAATCGTAAGGATTTTAAAAGAAAACAATTTTATAATTTGTTGCGTAGGTATAGTTTCAATAATAACTGATAAAGACAGCTGTAATTTATCCTGCTGCTAACTATATAAAAAAATCATCGAGAGTATGTAATTTTAATAGATTTATCCTCACTGCAATATTTGTGTACGGATTAGTTGCAAAAGTGACCTTAAAGTACTAAAACAACTCAAATTTTACCATGCTTTGTGGCTCTTGTGAATTGGGAAATGTGTTTTAAATTTTTTTGAAATAGTGTCTTGCTTTGGAAAAACTTGCAAATAAACATACTGTACAGGGTGAGACGTGTCGGGAAGTCTAATAATGTTTTTTATCTGGTATTGGTATTCTCCATTGCGACAGAAACAATGAAAATCTGAAAATAATTCATTTTCAGATAACAAATTTCTTCTCCGATTTCTTCGAACTAAAAAATTTAGTGTTCCACTTGCTTGCGAAATGTTAGAACGTTATTTGATAATAAGACAGCTTTATCCGGACTGGTTTAAAAACTTAGACTACGAAGATAAAGACTTAAAAGAAATAATAGATAATGGATACATTGTTCCCTTGGTCGATAGAATCGATGGAAAGCTGGTCATTTTTAGTGCAGCTGATAAATTCGACCCCTATAAGTATACAGCGGCGCATATGATCAGGGTGCATAGTTTAGTTAGCGAGGCACTTATGGATGATGAACTTAATCAAATTTACGGATACGTTTATATTAATGACGTAGCTGGATTCCAAATGGGACACATTTCTTTATGGTCTTTGAAGGATGTTAGAAATATCTTCCATTGCGTTCAGGTCAGTAGAAAAAGCTTTGCGGAGAGTGGATTCAATGAAATTTAATTAGTTCTACTGTTAAATAGATTTTGGTGGAAAGCAAGGGGTCGAGGGTAAATCTAGGTAGTTTGGAATTTTCACAGTAATTTACAAAAAATATTGTATAATAGTAACTATCCATGTAATCATACGTAAACTATTCCAAATTGAATGATGCTTTTCACATTTCTTCTTCTGCAAAGCTTTAAATCGTACAAAAATTAAAATCATCGAGAAATCTATGGTTAAAATTGTACGTTACCAAATTCCTTGATAAACGTTTTCGAAAAAATTAAAAATAAAACAGTTATAGGATTTTGAAACTTTTACCTGAAAAGCATTAATTTCTTGCGACTTGTACTAAACAGACATTTTTACTTTTTATTCACAAAAATTCTGTAGAATTCGATTTCTTACCAAAAAGAACAAGACTAGAATCACGTATCTGAAGCGCAGGACTGTCCTTTTCTATCTCCATTTGCAGCACAACAATCTGCAGCGGAATATTCTTAAATAATTTTATTATTTTACAGAATTCCTCCCCTATGAGACATAAAGCTAATCATTTTATAAACATGTCACCTGCCGCCGCTAAACTTATAGAATTTGGATTAACTTTTCTAAATGATAAATTAAGAAATAGAACTTTTGTAAGTATCTTTACAGAGTAATGTTTTCTTTTTAATTTGTGATTTATCAATATGCCGTACCTTTAAAGTATGACAAAGTGAAGTGGTGTACTTTCATTTTCTACGATAACTTTTAATTTGTGTGGTACATTTGTCTCACGGTGAGGGTTATATTACGAATAAAAATTTTAGATAAATCCGTCTTTAGACGCCTTACATGAGAAAATCGACCCGAAAATTCTTCCTAAAGAATATGGTGGTGTAGTTCCTTTGAGCGAACTCACGGAAAAATTGAAAACCTTACTAAAAGAAAGGCGAGAACAAGTGTTATCGTTAGACGACATGTATATTGAAATAGATGAAAGAGAAT